GCGAACCCGGAGCCACCTGGGGGACTCACAGGGGCCCAGCGCGGGCTGGGGGCTGCAGGCTGGGGGAGGGGCAGCTCAGCGCGGCCCCCTCCCACCCTGCCCGCTGTGACTGGGGCACCTCGAACCCACAGCCCAGGCCCAGGGCCGCACCCACGTTCACATGCGTTGTTGGCTGCAGTGGGGTCCGTGTGGCTGGACCAGGACCTCCCCCGGGGCCGGCGGGGGACACAGAAGACCCTGAGAGTCCAGCGGGCAGTGGTGCCACAGAGGCTGGAGGGGCACGTGTGTACAGTGCTCAGGAGCACCCAGGGCAGAGCAGGTATGGGTTCAGGCTGCGGGACCTGCACCGAGGGGGTGCGTGGGCGGTGGGGTCAAGAGTCGGCCGGGGGCTGGGGTGGCCAGCGACCCCTGGCTGGCTGTCCTTCCGCGTCGTGCAGGAGTTTTCACTTTTGGCGTTTGGGCAGCCCCGAAGGCCCATGACCTGGGGCTCGGCCCTCAGTGCTCACTGGGTCTCTCTCACCCGACCCACCTCCTGGCACAGAACCCGCACGATCTCTGGAGCAGGTCCAGGGGCTGCAGAGGCCCCGGGGGACGGCCCGGCCTGGCCAGGTGCAGGGCCTCCTGCTCGGGCGCACGTGCAGGTCTGCGTCAGCTGCCCAGCTGGCACCGGAGACGCAGCAGAAGCGTCCAGTCAGCCCCCAAGGGCGGATTTCCAGAGACCCAGAGGACAATGGTCAAGGGGCCCCACCAACGTGGTCGGCAAATTCCACATCCCAACAGGAAACACAACTTGAGAGCCATAAAAGACGATGAAGCAAAAGTGGTCCTGGGCGGCGCCTGGCGCCCGTTCCCACAGACGGGCCCCTGCCGAGGCCAGACCCAGCGGCTCCAGCCCCACGTCCTCTCCTCCAGATGGGGACGGGTCACCGGGGTCGCCTGCGTGACCCTCGGCACCGAGCTCAGGGGACAGCGGGAGGTGGCCGAGCCCCTGAGGAGCTCCAGGTGGTGGCAGTTTGTAAACTGTCTCTGGGAAGGAAACGGGGGTGAAGGGCACAGGGAGCGAGGGCGGGGACCGGGAGGCAGCTGGACGGCCACCGCAGGGCCGGGGCGGGCAGCGTCCCCCTCGGGGAACTGAACCCCAGGAACCAAGGGCAGGGGGCGGGGAATCTCCGTAAATGGGAACTGCACCAGAAGGTGAGGGTGAGGGAGTTTGCGTCTGAAAATTCACTGGAGGGGCTGGAGCAACAGCACAGCGGGGAGGGCGTTGGCCTGGGCTCGATTCCCGGCGTCCTATAGGGTCCCCTGAGCACTGCCAGGAGAAATTCCTGAGTGCAGAGCCAGGAGGAACCCCTGTGCATCGCCGGGTGTGACCCAGAAAAGCAAAAAAATAAAAAAAATCAATGAAACAAAAATAAAGGAAAATCCACAGGGAAGAAGGGAGGCAGACGCCCGTCCCCAAACGTGGCAGGTGCCGGCTGCAGGCCTCTCGGCAGGGAGCCACGGTGAACGTGGGCTGAGGTCTCAACTCTGTCCCCGGGTCAGTGCTGCCGGGGCTGGAGGTGTCAGGGCAGTGGCCCCGGCCTTTCCTGGCCTCCCTGGCTGGCCCAGAGCACCGCCCACCTCCGCCTCCATTAGCCAAACGGTTAGCTAGACCTCGGCCTGCAACCAGGTCTCAGGTCTAATAAAGCACCTGTGACCGGCGCCGTCGCACGGGCCCTGCATCCCGGTTTAGGAGTTAACAGCAGCATCTGCGTGCAGTGGCCGGCGACGCCGCCTGCCAGGCCCGTCTCATCCCACTGACATCTTTTAATCAGCGTAATCCGTAGCGTGGCTGCCTTCCAGCGTGTCAGAACTGCAAACACACACGGCAGGGCAGGGCCGAGGCTAGCCGGGCTTTTTCTCCCGAGCTTCCCCTTCCTGACTGCAGATTTCACACAGCCGGCTTCTAATGAATTCATCCCATTAAGGGGGAAAAAGGGAGATGATTGCCTTGGGCCCGCCTCCACCTGCCGGCCTCCCTGATAACTAGGAGCACAATTGCTTATTGTGTCTGATTCGAACATTTTTCAAACAACTCTGTAATGAAAATAAAGCCGGGCCCCATTTGCCATGCTGGGGCTGGAGGAAAGGGAGGTGGGGGGGGGGTCCCTGGGCCATGGGTGGGCTGTGGGGGTGGGGCGGGTGCCGGAAGGGCTGGTGAACTTGGGGGGGAGGTGGAGACCCGCCCCCGTAGCCCCCAGGGTCCTTCTTCGAGTCTTGTCCGGGCTGCCCGTGTGATGTCGGGGGACACTCTGCTCTCTCGCGTGTCCGGCCGCCCATTTCTAGGGCATCTGTGCAGACCCTCAGGGAATGTTCCAGACTTGTTCCTGGGGGCAGAGGCTGCTCTGGCTGCCGGGAAGGGCCCAGGGGTGCCGGTGCCGACGCCCTGGACGGGCAGTACCCAGGCCCAGCACAAGGGGCCCAGGGTCTGCGGGGTTGACGCCGGCGGGGGAGGCTGGGCAGTGAGGGGCCGTCGTGGAAACCCCAGCCCCGCCTCGTCCCGGCTGGTCCCCTCCGCGGGGAAGGTTGAGGATGTGCCCCCCACAGCGGCGGTGTCGCCCAGGGCCTGTCAGCGCGGAGTCCGAGGCTTCAGTCTCAATGAACAGATCTCAGCTGCTGCAAACTCGTCGGCCCACACAGGGCTGCACCCGGGGTCCCATGCGAGGGGCCCCACGCTGATCAGGCCACCCCTGGGCTCCGTTGGGCCTCTTGAGCCCCTGCTGGACCTTCAGTGGCGAGACCACCGGGTGGATCGCAGAGCCAAGCCACCCGTGGGGCTTCCCAGGAGTTCCAGAAGTTTCTGCCCCCCTCCTCCCCTGCTCCGGCAGAGCCAAGCCACCCTCAGGGCTTCCCAGGGGTTCCAGAAGTTTCTGCGCCCCTCCTCCCCTGCTCCGGCAGAGCCAAGCCACCCTCAGGGCTTCCCAGGGGTTCCAGCAGTTTCTGCCCCCCTCCTCCCCTGCTCCAGCGTTCTCTGAAGTGGGCGATCCGGCCCCGTCCCCCAGGGGCTGGGGTGTATGGCGCATTGAGGGGTTCCTGCTCCTTCCCAAGTACCGAGGGGCCAGGGCCAGCGTGGTGCAGGGGCCCCCGACTGCAGGCAGCCAGGCTCAGTGGGGGCAGAGAAAGGGTCCCAAACGGACGGGTCGCACTTGGGCGGGCCGCTGGTGAAGTGCAGGACCAGCAGGGGGCGTGGGGCCCTCCAGGGTCCGAGCCCCGTCCTAGCTCACTCCCCTCTCCAAGGAGAATTTCCCAACTCGGAACCAGAAACCTGAGCCGGAGCCAGTTCTTCAGAGAAGGGACAGGAAAATGGCAAATGCCGTGTGTCCTGGGGCGGAATCCTGCACACGGCAAGGGGTGTGTGTGCAGTGATACGGGCATCCTCCAAACACGGCGCATCATGTGTGATGCTACACACACACACACACACACACGGCTTGTTTTCAAAACAATTTGTAAGGCTGCTTAGCTCTGAGCGCTCCCGTGTTCTCTTCTATCTGACCCGACCCGGCCGGCAGGGCGGCTGACACCCTCTGATAGCAGCCTGCTCCCGGGATTTGCTGGAAAGCGCTTAGGTTTTCACGGATCACTGGAGGTTCTTCATTTCCCCCTTCTGTGTTATGTAGGCATAAGCCGTCTCTCCAGGCATAAACTGTCCACTGGTAAAAATCAATTTTGATTTTATCAGTACTCATTACCGCTGGCGCCAGGGTTTCAGAAGAGAGCGAACATGCAAACCAGGAAGAGGAATAAACTGAACCTGGTTCTCACGCCTCCCGCTCACACGGCCGTGTCCGTGCCGGGCGCGTGGCATCGTGCGGAGCTTAAGCGGTCAGTTTTAGAATTCAATCCTGCGGGTGGAGGGGGCTGTCCTCTCGCGGCTGGCCGGCTCCACGGGGCCCCGTCCCTGCCACCTCGGACCTGAGTCTGCCTGGCCACTGCGGCCCGGCGCCCCCGGCATCTGCCACGTCCCCCTAACGGACAAGCAGGGGCGCACACCCCTTTCCGCTGTTTCTCCGACTGGGGTGCCAGGGTGGAGCTTCACGGGGCGTTCTCTGCTCTTCACCTTCGCTGAATGGGCCGTGGTGCCCGGGATGACCCTCCCCACCTGGCCGGCCCATCGTAATGACCCTTCCCCCGGCCGGCCCCCTCTCGGCCGTCCGTGCTGACACTCAGCCCCGGCAGGCCCGAGGAAGGAGGGTGGGTGGCGCCTGCCCTGCACGCAGCCGGCCCGGTCAGGCCCCAGTTCACTCCCTGGCCCAGCCCTGGCTCCGACCAGCTGCCAACACCTTCAGTTGTGTGCCCAGAGGTGCCCCTGCCCAGTGACGTTCATGCTGATGATCAAGCAACAACCCCCCTCCCCCCGCGTAGAGCACACTTGACAGAAACAAGGAGAACTTTTAATTTGGGGCTTTATTTTGATTTTCTTTTTAAGATACTACAGAGTCAAACAGAATTGGGTTGGTCTTTCACGGCGTAAATTCCATTCACAGTCAAACGCTCACTTATCGCTCAATGGATGGATGACCCCAGACACCCCCGCCCCGCCCCAGCTCGAGCTGACGAGGGGGGCCGCGGTGGGCCCGTGGGGGGGCGGGGGGCGGGCGGGCAAAGCACGCGCTCGGGCGTCGGTGGCCATGCAGACTGCCCCTCCCGGCCCCGCCCCGGCAGCGGCTCTCCTGGCGTCCTTATGAGATGATGCACTGAGGCACGTCCAGCCGCGCCCACGGCCGCGGGCCCCACACGACGGCGCCTGGCCCCCGACGACGAGGACCCAGCACCGACTGTCGAACCCGGCCCCGGACAGGCCGGCAGCCCCCGCTGGGCTCCGGCTCCCCCCCAGGCCGGGCGTGTCCCGCTCTGTGGGGGGGCCCAGCAGGTCCCAGGCTCGGACGCCCCGGCTCCGGCTCCCGGCCCGGGCGCCTGCGGGGGGGCTTGGCTAGCTGCGCGGGGAGGGGTGAGGCAAGACCTGGGGGGTGGCGGCATACACGGGGTCTCTGGACAAGGTGACGGGGAGGCCGCGCCCACATGCTGCCCTACAAGGCGATCTTGCCGAAGATGACGCCCACGATGAAGAACAGGACGACCAGCGCCAGCAGCCGGCTGCTCAGGCCCTCCTCCTTGGGCGCCGCCGGCCCCGGCCCTGGGCTGCTGCTCCGCGCCGCCTTCCGCATGCGGAGACCGTCCTCCTCCTGGGGACGAACACACGGTCAGGGACGGCCGGCCGAGAGGGACTCCCAGCCCCGGCATCAACCCTCAGCCCCTCCCGCCCCTGCATTAACCCTCAGCCCCCTCCCCCAATGTCCTGCCCCCGCCCCCGCCGTCCACCTGAAATGCGGGTCCCCAGAGGACCAGCCCCAGGAGGCGCAGGTGTCCGCAGAGGCCGGTGCTGCCCGCAGCGCAGGAGCAGGCCCGGCCCGGCAGCGACTTCCCTCTCCCGGGAAGCTCCCTGGCCCTTCCCCCGACAAAGACGACGCGTTGGGCAGACACTCTCTCCGGTCACTGCCCACAGTCCCAGGCCAGGCCTGCCTCTGCCGCTACCCTGGCCAGATGCCTCCCACCCTCCGACTCCACTGCCCTGCTGCAGCTCCATTTCCTCTTTCCCCGATTCCTTCACACCCACCCCCGGGCCTCGAGGGTGCAGGGGGCCGGCCCCGCCGGACGCCGAGCCAGCCCGTCGAATGCCCGTGTCCGAGGAGGCAGGGAAGCCTCGGAAATCCCGCCGCTCCAAGGGGAAGAACGCAAGCGGACCGAACAAGCGGTCAGCACTTGAAAGGAAAAAGAATCTTCCCGTGTCAAGATTGGCCTGATAATATTTTAAACATACTCTGCTCACAGGGCACGGCCAATACCCCAGCATGGCTGATAAATGACTGGGGTTATTCGATTAACTTAAAAAAAAATGGGCACAGCAAAATCCAGCATTTATTGGGTTTATATAGAAGCTCTTTCTCCCCATTTATCACTTTGAACGACCAGAAGTCTGTTTCTGAAGAGAAACACGCTCGAGGAGGGGCACGGGGCGTGTCCGAGACGCTCAGCAGAGAGGAGTCAGCCTGGAACCCCGCGTGGCTCGAAGCTGGGACCAAGGTCCGAGAGACGGACGCGGCCTCTGTGGGCCTGGCGCTGGCAGAACGCCGAGAGAAGCTCTTACTGGCTGCCGGCAGGAGCGAGAGCCCAGATGGGCCTTAAAACTGGGGCCTTGGGGCCGGAGTGGTAGCACAGCAGGGATGGCGTCTGCCTTGCACGCAGCCGACCCGGGTTCGATTCCCAGCATCCCGTAGGGTCCCCCGAGCACCGCCAGGAGTAATTCCTGAGTGCAGAGCCAGGAGGAAGCCCTGAGCACCGCCGGGTGTGACCCAAAAAGCAAAAAACAAACAAACAAACTAACCAACCCTGAAGCCTCCACAAGCCTCCGTGCGCAGATGCACTGGGCAAGGGGGGGAGTGGCTGGGGGGTCTGCCCTGCCCTGCCCCCGGCCTGCCCCGCGCCCCTACCTTGAAGCCTCGGTTCTCCTCGCGCAGCCGCTGCACCTCGGCCTGCAGCCTCCGGCACTCCTCCATCACCTTCCTCACCTCCGTGTCATCCAGCGAGGAGCTCAGGGGCTTGGGCGCGGCCGGGCTCTCCGCCTTGGACGCAGCCGTGGCCATGATTTTATTTATTTCTACATCGAGCTGTTCGGGGAAAAACGAAAGCCCGGGGGTCAGGGCTCTGGAATAAGGGACTTTCTTCTCTGCAAAGCAAAGGAGTTCTAAACCAACGCCACGTGGCGGCGCTTCCCGCCACAGCATCACACGCTGCCGCGCTCAGCCCTGGAGAGCCACCGGGCCCCGTGGGGCGCAGCCGGGCACCCGGTCCCGGCAGGAAGCCCCAAGTGAAGCGGGGTCACCTGTGGGTGCGGGGACCAACACCGGGCTGCGAGGGGCTGGGGGGCAAGAACCCCCGTGGGAACACTGTCTGGCCGCCGGCACAGCCCCCGCCCAGGGCCCAGAAGTCCACTCTCTGCTCAGAGACAGAGAACCTCCAGGCCACTGAAGGCATTTCTAGGGGCCCAAGGCAGCTGCCGGGGAGCACCGGCCAGTCCCGATGGCCCGGGAGCCGGGGTCACTGCCTACTGCTGCCCTTCCCGGGCACAGCCACTGGACACGGCCAGCAGCAGGGCCAGGACGCCGGGGGAGGGAGCTCTGAGGAAGATCTGGTCAGGCGTGCCGGATGCCCTCGGGGACTGGGGGGTCCCCGGCAGGGTCCAGCCTGGGAACCACTGAACTCAGGGCCAGATTTTGCCTGCGGGGGAAGGGGACGACGACACAGCACGGGGCACTGAGAGGACCCGGAGACGGGGGCTCCCTAAACAGTGCTCTGGGCCGCGGTGCTCCAGCCCCAACTGATCTCTCCTCACACAACCTGGCCAGGCCCCGACGCCCCCAGACCCCGGGCACTGACAGGGGCTCCACCTCCGAGGGCCGCGGGGGCCAGGGGCTGTCAGGCGGGGCCGGAGCCGCTGCCTGACTTCAGCTTATTCTCTTCATCCATCAGAAACGGGAAAATAATTTGCCAGCTTCAATCTCGGTTCTGCAGGGGACGGATGCAAATGGTGTCGGCTGGCGACGTTCAATCACGGGGAACGAGGAACACACTTACCGGTTTATCATTCTCCACTGGCAGCTCGAAGACACACCTAAGTTTTGAATCCATAAGGTCTTCCGGTTTTGCTTCCTTCCACTGAAACAATTTAAATTTAATAATCAGGATATTATAAAGCCGCGAGAAGAATAATTTCCTTCTTTATAACTGACAATTTCAGAAAAACACTCTTAATGAGAAAGCTCTGATGTATATCAAATAAAGAACTCCCGTCGGCTGGGATTTCCGTCTCCCGAACGTGACGAGATCAGGGCTCCAGCCCCCGGAACACTCATCTCCCCTGCCCACGCCTGGGCGTCCCCTCCTCCGGGCAGACCCCGGGGAACAGGACGAGGGTCTCTGCTCCAGGGGTCCCGGCAGGCCAAGGACCCTCACCCGGCGCTCCTGGAGGAGGGGGGCTGGGAGCCCTGTCGGGTGCTGCCGGGACGGAGAGCCGCAGAGCAGAGACCCCCGGGCAGGGAGCCGGCCACTCGGGGTCAGCGGGCCGAGGGGCTGCGCCGCTGTCGGTCGGGCCCGGTGGCACCAGAGACCTCCGGACTCACCAGCAAAACACTGACCCAAAGTTCAGTCCCGAGAAACTCCCCGGAAGCCCCACCTGCGTGGGGCAGAACGTGGCCGCGACAAAAGCCACAAAGCAGTGGCCCCGCGGCTGCCCCTGCCAGACTGGGTCAGCCCCGGTCGGACGGGATGGGAAGCGGGGGACGGAAGGCCAGCAAGCCGCCTGGTCACGCAGGGAGAAACAAAGCGGACGCCGGGAACGAGCAGATGCGGCGGGGGGTTAGGCCAGGCGCCGGGGAGGTTCTGGCCTGGTCACTGCGCAACAACCCGTGTGACGAGAAGGACAGAGGCTGGGGGGGCGGGGGGGTGAGAGGCCAGCGAGTGACCGCAGGGAGGGCGTCTGCCTGCCTGCGGCCGACCCAGGCCCAACCCCCGGCACCCTCAGCGCTCCCCACGCCCGCCAGGAGTGATGCCTGAGCGCGGAGCCGGGTGTGCGCCCCCCGACCAAAAACACTGACAGGAAAACAAGAGCCTGAGGCTCCAAAGGCAACGAAAAGAAAGAAGCCCAGGTCCCGGCCCGTCTCTCCAGGGCATCATGCCCCGAATTTCCCCGAGTGCTGCTGGGGAGCTGGGTCTGCAAGCAGTGCCCCTCCCCCCATCGCAGGCCGACCCTGTCCGGGGCGGGGACCCCGGCACAGCCGCGGGGGGTCCTGCTTGCGGGGGGGCTCGGGTGCCCCGCCCCGACCCGCTCACTGCTGAAGCCAGGCAGGAGGGCCCGGGGTGCCCACCCCAGACAGGCACGCAGCACCTCGCCTGCGCAGGGCCTCACCTCAACCCTCCGGCTCCTGCCTGAACTCTGACATCCGTGAGGGTGGGCCTAAGGGCGACCCCAGCCGCACCCCCGACCTCGCCCACGCTGCAGGCGGAACCCCTCAGTCTCGGCACCTGGGCCGGGGAGCCGAGAGGTGGGCAGCGTGCTGGGCGCCCCCGTTCAGGGGCCACGGAGGCCTCCCTGGGGGCCCGGGCCAGGCTCATACCGAGAAACTCTCAGGCGGGTTGATTCTGCATCACGGCGTTTCCCCAGAAGCAATAACGTAACATCCCTCAGGAGGTTCATGAAAATAAAGCCATCTCACTGTACCCAAATCAGACACATATTAAACTTTTCTTTTAAGGAGAAATCTAAGGGGAATAGCAATGAATTAGAATGAAACCCCCCAACAAAGCCTGATGGGCTGAGGGCAGTTTCACACCCCCAGTGTCCCAGCCGCTGAGGGTGGGACATCAAGGCAGCCCCTGGAGAGAAACACACCTTTGGGGGCGTAGATCCCAAACCACCCGAGACACAAAATCCACCAGAAAAGGGGCTGCTGCAGCAGCTGAGACAGGAGTCAGGGAAGAGCGATATTCTGGAACGTTCCACGCAAGGGTGAACGCAGAGGTTCAGGAACAGCCCGAGGGCGCCCGAGACCCTCTCCCCCAGGCTCAGACAGTGGGCACCTCTGGGCGTGTCCCGCTGCCCCCTCCCAGCCCAGAGGAAGAAGCGGGCACTCACCACTGCCTCCATGTCGGAAGTGTCCGTCGGCGCGAACAGAGACTGGACCATGAACTTGTGTTTACTTTTCTCGTTGGGGTCATAATCGAACGGCTGCAACATCACTGCGAAGAGAGGAGGCCATCGGGGGGTGCCCGGCCACAGCCTGCCACGCCCACGACCCAGGCGCCTGCACCTCCCCTCCCGCCCACGGGACCCGCACCCGAATCGCGGGTACGTCCAGGGTCACGGCCGAGGCGCAGGGCCTGGGCACCCGACACGCGTGCCCACCCTGGCACAGGCCTGTTTCAGGACCCGACACATGCATGTTCCAGCCCCGACACGCGTGCTCAGGAGCCAGGACCGAGTCACCTGGGATATCCACGGCCCGTCTCAGCTTCTCCCACTTGGTCCCGGGGCTGGTGACGCCCGCGGGTGCCCCAACTGGCAGCAGAACCTGGCACTGCTCCCCACACACCCCGTAGGGAGCCCCCGGCCCAGGAGCACAGGCCAGGCTGATGACAGCCCGGGGTCAGCACAAGCCCGGCCCACTGGCCCAGCACTGGCAACGCGCCACCCTCAGAGGGCCGGCGGAGACGACGCCTCCGTCCAGGCTGGGAACGGGGCGCCAGGAAGGCAGATGCCGGGCCAGGGACACGCGGGGATCGAGCCGCCTCTGGGAGGGGTGTCTGAGCCCCCGGGGGGGGGGGGTGGCTCCAGCAGGAACTGACGTGTCCCCACCCAGTCAGCCGCCTCTGACCCCTCCAGCTGGGCTCCCCAGGGATTCCTGCAAACGGAACCATGCACAATTGTGGATCGCTGAGGGATGGGGAAGGCAGCAACCCCGTGCCCGCTCCTATCCCCGGAAGGGAAGAGCCGTGCCCAGCCCGAGGGCCTCTGATGCCGCCGGGGCCCCTGGGGCCTCTCCCACCTGCTCCACTAGATCCTCCCCCTGCCCCCTCGGCCTTCAGAGGGGCGGTGAGCAAGACTGAGCATCTGCCCCCGCCCCCAGGAGCCCCAGCCCACTGGACCCCGTGTGCGACCCCAGGCTCCCGGCCAGGCTCCCTGCGTCAGGCCGTGTCAGTCACGACAGGGCCACGAACGCCTGGCCACGGTGGACAAGGGGCTGGCAGCCTGCTGGCAGGGACCCCCAGAGTCGCCGTGCCGGGCATGTGGCCACCCTCGCCTGCCCTCACTCCGGTCGGGGCTGGGCGCTGCGCCCTGGCGGCCCCACCCTGAGAACTGAAGCGGCCACAGCACCGTGCAGGGTCCTGCAGACCACAGCGACAGGTCGGCCTGCAGGAGGGATGGCACCCCAGCCTCGGCTCCCGGCTCTCCCTGTCCACAGGCGCCGGACGTCCAGCGGCAAACACGGGCAGTGGCCACCCAGACCCACGGCCGAGCAGCGCCGCCGCCCTCCCCCACGAGCCCAGAAGTGGGTCTTCCCCGCCCATCTTCACCGCGCCGGACCCACGCGCGGGCACGGCCTGAGAACACGGCTCCTGGCTCCCGCCCCCCGCGCCACGCATGCAAATCGCGGCAGAAATGATGTACATTGTCCATGACAGGCTGTAAAAGAACTCCCCATTAACTTAATTTATTTCGCTTGAATACCAGAGACACTGATGCTAAAACCCTCTTAAATGAGCCATCCATCCTCCTCCTGAGACGTATCTGCTGATACCACGTCAAAGAGAGGCCCGTTACCAGGAGACGGCCGCCACGGCCACCACGCGCCCCATTAACGCCCCTGCTACGACGTCCACTTTATCCCAGGACGCGCGGACGAGAGCCTTAAGAAAGGAGCGCAGGGTCATGAAGCCCGATCGATGAGCGAAGAGCTGCAGGACGCATGCTCACACACACACACACACACGCGCGCGCGCTCACTCCCACGGCCTCACACACACACATGCGCACACTCACTTCTACACAGTATCACACACACACACACATACACACACTCATTCCCCACATAGCCTCACACAAGCACACGCGCACACTCACCCCCACACAGCCACACTCACACGCACACACACGGGGCACACACTCACTCCCATACAGCTACACACACACACACACACTACACGCTCACTCACTCCCACAGCCTCACACACGCACAGGCGGCACACGCTCACTCACACAGCTTCACACACTCACAGGCATACACCCCCCCACACTCGTCTCACACGCTCATTCTTACACTCATTCACACCCAAACACCCCCCACATCCCACTCACACTCAGTCTCATGGTCCCACCCAGGAAGTCACACTCCTTCTCACACCCCCTCACACTCAGCTACACTCGTACACTCACACACACGGTACACCATGCGCACACAGTTCTACACACACACCTTTGAACTCAAAGCCCCGTACTCACACACCCACACTCCTACTCACACGTCCACACTCACACTCATACTTACACCACCACACTTTTCTCACACGTCTACACTTGTGTACACCCCACCACTCAGTCTCATACACACACACATACACACACACACACACACACAATTTTCTCTTCCCCCTTCAGAAGCGACTAGATTGAAAGTGAAATCGAAGCTTCCAGGACGCCGGGGAGCCCCAGCCCGACCTTCTCTCAGCCCAGAGTGTCCGTCCACGTCGCCCACGTCCATGCTGGCCGCCAGCGGGTCGGGGGCTCCTGCACCTAACGCCTCCCACGAAAGCACCCGCCGGGCTCCCGCCAGGTCCCCCGCCAAGGTCCCGGGCAGCTCCTGCCCCGCACCCCACGGGCACCGCGGGGCTGGAGAAGGAACCTGAGAGCCAGACTCGGCCGCTCTCTGCGACTCGGACGTGGCCGCGAGCGTTCACCATCCAACGCCCGAAGCGGCCCGCCTGGGGGAGGGGTGGGGCCCGCCTGCCTCTCCCGTGGCGGACAGACCGAGGCGGCGCTCACGGAAGACCTGGCCAAACGTGGCTCGTGAAAACCACCCGTGCAAAGGCCGTGCTCGACAGGAGTCCGGAGCAGACCACCAGACAAGCAAGCAGCGGCCCCGGCCCGTGGCCCCAGGTCACGGCCCCGCACTGAGCCGCGTCGCCAAAGCACCCCCGGGCCCCGGCCAGCCGCGGCCAGCAGCTCCGCTCGCTGAGTCAGCAAAATCTTAAAAGGATTAATTATCAATCGCAACGCTGCCCAATTACATTAATTGACCAATGTTTCCATCCAAGAGGAGCTGCTGATTTCCATTCTCTGTGCTCGGGATTTTATTGGAAGAACGTTCGGCTCTAAGTGTGATTGAGATAAATGCTGGAGGAGCTCGACGTCGCCGATGAACGCTGCTCCTTAACTCTCTGGGCTTTAAATTAAAATGAAGATCCAGGACTCGGGGCGAGTCGTGCCGGTTTGTCTTCAATTCATTCCCGACTCCCCGGGCACACCGAGGCGGGTCTATCTGTGCCTAAAAACTGGTATCTTTGATGACTCATCCCCCCCCACCGAGATATTTTGCATTTCTAATCTGCTTGGTACACAGGCGACCAATGCGCATAACTGAACCGCAAATGGAAGCGTGTTTGCTACTTTAGAGAAATTAGAATGCAGTGAAGGTTATAAAAATATTAAACTTAATACCATATTACAGGAAGCGTAAGTATTTTTGATGGGCCCATAATTCCACCACTTCACCTGCCGTCTCCGCTGGCAAACGTGGTTTGGAATATTAACGGAAACTCCCTCCTTATTAAACTGCACTATTAGGAAAAGGTCCTCAACCACTTAGCAGCTCGACACAGAAACTTCCAGACACGATCCACCTTGAAAACATCTTCCCGCCGCCACCGCTGAGGAAAACGGACTGAGGTGGAGGGCCTGGAGGAGGGCAGCCTGGCCCGGGCGCCCACCCACCCACCCACAGGCCCCACCCCCCCCGCCTTTGCTGCTGTTGCTGGTGTGTGTGTGTGTGTGTGTGTGTGTGTGTGTGTGTTTGGGGGCCACACCAAGCAATGTGGGCTGACTCCTGGCTCTGTGCTCAGGGATGGCCTGGAGAGCTTGGAGGACCCTGCGGGTGCCGGGGATGGGACCCGGGTCAGCCATGCCGGGTGGGCGCCCTCCCTGCGGTGACTCTCTCCAGCCTACCTGGCTGAGCTTAAGTTCAGTGGGGGGGGGGGGTCTCTCTGCGGAGGCAAAGGCCGGCCCGGCCGTGGCACTAGGGCCCCGCAGAGCGAGAGGCAAGGAAGCAGCCCTGGCCATGCCCTGGGAGCAAGTTCCAGAAGCTTCCAGAAGGCCTAGGCGGGGCCGCCCCGACAGCCAGTGCAGCGAGGCCTGTCCACCGAGACTGGCCCTGGAAACTCGCAATCGGCTGACCGGCCCCTGGGCCAATTTGTTTTGGGCTTTTGTTTTGTCGCTGCTGAAGAACCGAGTAAGGGATCTGTCATATCCTGAAATAAACTTGATCATGGAGAGTCTGGGCTGGGAGCTAAGACGCGCCCCCCCACCCCCCAGCCCCAGCTTGCTCCTGGGGCGACGGAGTTCCCGGAGACAGGGCCGGAGACAGGGGCCCGCCCCCAGCTGACTCCGCAGCGGCCTCTGCACACGGGGTCCCTGCAAACCTACCGGCAGCTGCTGTCTATAGGGCAAATGCAGAGTCTGGAAAATGGAAAATCAGAAAAAACAAATTTTGTCTCAGAGCTGGCAAAGGCTGGGGTAGGGGCAGCGGGCGGAGGGGCCGGGCAGCTGCGGGGCGCGGGGCGGGCCCAGGCCTGCTCCAGGCACCACGTCGGCTCCCACGGCCCCCAAGAGTGAGCCGAGCACGCCGAGCATGGTCGGGATGTGTCCGGAGAGGAGAGCAGGGGCCCGGGACAGGCGCGGCGTGGGAAGGTCAAACCCTGGCAACACCAACCCCCAACAAGAAGCAGCCGCCCTGTTAACGACACGTGACGCTTGGCGCTCGGCGGGCGACCCAGGGCACCGGGCGGCGGAGGCGCGGTCGCTGGCCTGTCCAGGAGCCTTCCCAGGACCTGCAGGCGACAGGACCCCCCGCCCCGCCCCCCACGGCCCTGACTCTCGCCCCAAAGCTCCAGCGAGGCAACACCGACTCCACCTGACACGCGTCCAAGCTCGGCCCCCTGGCCGTCCCCGCATGGCCCGCGCCGGCACAAGCCGGAGACCATCGAGCTGGGCGGGAACGTGACCCACTTTGCTTTCTCCCTCGAAGTCAAAGCCAGTTCCTGGGGCACTTTCGTGGCGGACTGCCAAGGGGAGCCTCAGCGTCGGGGTGCGAAGCCCCTCGAGCCCACAGCCGCCGCTTCACGTCCGCCCGCCCTCCCCTCCCCTCCCCTCCCAGGCCGCGGCCCCCGGCACCTACCGGACACGTTGATGGAGGCGCCCGCGTCGATGACACCGCTGTTGGGCCTGACACAGTACCGGCGCGGGGCCGTGGTCTTCACCTTGAAGCACACATTCCGGTCCGTCGGGTTGCCCAGCTTCAGGTTGGTGGTGACCACGTCCGTGAAGGGGCCTGCGGGAGGAGACGGACAGTGACCGGGGTGGCCGTGGGGAGAAGGCCGGGACGCTGCGGAGCCCAGAGCAGGCCTGTCCCCGGGCCCGCGTCATCCAAGTCCGGACAGACAGACGGACAAACAGATGGACAGCCCGCAGGGGGCTCTACGTCCGGCTCTGGCCCCGGCCCCACCCAGGGGGGGCAAGCTGGGCCCCAGGGACCGTCAGGGCAGCAAGCAACAAGGGTCGCGGAGGGCAGACGACCCGGGCGACCCCTGACGCCGCCACGGGGGTCCCGGAGCCGGGGGGAGGGGCCGCTCGGGCAGCTGCCAGGAGCCGCTCGGCTGCCAGGACGGCGGCGGCACACGGCGCCCCCGGGGCGTGTTTTATTATTATTTATTCATTTTCTACTTTATTAGATTTTTTAATTAAAAAAGTAAAACACGGCTTTTAAAACAGGCCCAACAATAAAAGATGAATAAAGAGGAAGTTAATGAGCTTTCCCTGTCCCCTGAGGTGACTAATATCCAGGCACCAGCATCCCCCCACGTCTCTGTTTAGACAAACAGTTACTGGCGCTCATGCACGCGCACACAGACACCACACACACACACACACACACACACACACACGCACACGCACACATGAGCTCACACACACGCACACACACTCATGCAGGCATTCGTATGTGCAGATATACACGCACACATACACATACGCATTCACATGTGCAGGGACACACACACACACACACACACACACACACACAAGCACACACGCACGCACTGCAGACAAGACGAAATTCGAATGTCCCTGTCTTGTAAGTCTGGCGACCCGTTCAACTCTGCCTGGGGGGCAGCCCTGACTGTGTCCCCGGGATGCGTCCGGCCACGAGACCTTCGCGCCGCCCGTGACCTTCGCGCCGCCTGTAAACTGAGGCAGGGCCCCTGCGCATTCACCCACCGTCTCCCTCCCGCCTGTGGCGTTCCGGGGCACATGCCCCGTGGTCTCGGGAGGGACGGGGGTCCCCCGGCTGCCACGAGCCGCCCGAGACCGGCAGGAGCCACAGACGAGGAGACACGCCCGGCCCGCACCTGGTCCCCTCGGCCAGCCCTGCCTCCCGAGGCCGCGGGCGCCGGGCACTGCAGCCCCGTCCCCTGCCTCCGCCCGCAGGCCCCTGCCAGCCAAGCCGACTCCGGGCTGCGTTCCCTCCGCGAGAGCCGCTCGGGGTACGAAAAATCAATCTGGGCTGGGCCTGAACATAAATTCAGAAATCAATCGTGGCGAGAAGGAAGAAAGGAGCAGGACTCCATTCCAGACTCCGACGAACTCGGCGGGCTGCGAAAGGCCGATCTTGGAAACGTGAATTCGCTGGATGTGATTGATGTGCAGATTACGGGGCAATCTGAGCATGAAACGGGTCGTACATGTGCTCACGCGATTTCATCTACGGGCAGGCCAGGCGAGCAGCACAGCCCCCCCCCCAGCCCCGGAGCAGCCAGGCGGTGGCCCCAGGGGAGGGGCAGGCACGGAGAGGACCCCCGGGCGTGGCGGAGAGGACCCCTGGGCGTGGCGCCAGGCCCCAGAGAACGTCCCTGGGGGCTTCCCCTGCCGGGCCCATGTGGACAGCCACCCCCCCCCCCCCCAGCACCAACTGCTGCAGCCCATCCATGCCCAGAAGGGGAGAAGGGGGCAGGGAGCGCCCCCTTGGGCCATCCTGTGGAATGCACAGAGGGACGGGACAGGCAGTGGGGACACGGGGGTTGCTGCAGGCAGTGACACCCGCCAGCAGGATGGAGGGGAGCAGGGCGGGAAGGGTGGGAAGGGCGGGGAAGGGAAGGGAAGGGAAGGGGAGGGGAGGGGAGGGGAGGGCGGCGCTCTCACAGGCAGCCCTGGTCTGCTCAGGGCGCGAGTCTCCTACAAGGGCACAGACAGACTAGCCAGAGCTCCTGAGTCTTCTGGGGTCTCTGTGTCTGTCTATCTGTCTCTCTCTCACACACACACACAACCAACATGGCACCACCACCACATCTCCCAGGCGCCACGTGACAGGCCAGCCGGGAGCACCCACGGGCTCCCCAAGCCCACGGCGGGGGCTCCGAGCGGCCCCCACAGCCGTCCCCCGAGAGCAGCTGGGAGGTGACGAACAGAACGGGAGCTGGGCGGGGGTGGCCGTTCCTCTGCCCCCTCCCACGGACCTCCTCCTGGGACGCCACAAAGCTGACTCATGGCCCCCCGAGCCCCTCCCGAGACCCCGCAGCCACCTCCGCGGTCAGCCCCGAGACCCCAGCACGCAGGCGGACGGGCACGTCCAGCTCACGGGGCCTGGACGTCCCCGGGCCTCTGCTGCGGTGCGTGGCCCGGCCGGCGGGGACCCGGCCTGAGCTGCAGCCCCCGGAGCGAGAGGCGCGGGGGTTTGTCAAAACAAACCAACCTTGTTCCCCCCACCCTGGGCAATTTGCCTGAAGAATTTTATTGAAAATAAATTCTGCCTGATTTGAGTCATTATAGGAGATAAACCATGCCAGAGCTCTCCCTTTCCCTGTATTAATTAGTCAGAATGCACAAAAACCTCAATAAAAATGATAGAAGGGCTTATGAACATCATTCAGATTTTTACTAGTCACTTTCGTTTCATAAAGCTGCCACTGGCATTAAGGCCGCTGGTAAAAAATGGCCATTTGCGGGGCCACTGTCCATATCGATCACCGAAGGATTCAAACGCTGCATAGAAAGCACCACCCAATTCGCCAACGCCAGCTGCCCCCGGAGTCCGGGCTTCTGAGGGAAACTTCAGGGCAGCTGCTCCCTCGACGACAGCACGAGCTTCAGGCTTTGCCTCCTCGCCTTCCACTTCCACTTACTTCACGCACGTCCGAGAAGGAAACCTGACTGCGAAAGGGGACGCTGGGGGGAAACGAGGTCATGTGAACTGGGGAGAGATCTGGAGAAATCGGGGAGAAACGAGAAACATCCCTTCAAAGTTCGGCGCTTCTTTCTCACAACTGGGTGATGCTCTTTATACCCCAAATGCCGTGAAAAGTCTCGGCGTCGGCCGGCGGCTGGTCAGTGGCTCCGGCCGCTGTCCCTCGAGCCCAGAGCGCCGGGCTGACCTCCGCCACCGTGTCTGGCTACTGCCGCTTCTAAGTGTGTATCTCAAGACGGGAAAAGGGTCCAGAATTGACCCTTGTTATTTTCTGCTTATTGTATCTCGGTCTGGGGGTCACACCCTGGCGGGTCGCACGCAAGGCCAGCACTCTACCACGTCCCAGGCCCCCCCGCGGTGCCCCATCTAAGAGAGCAAGAGGCCGCCGGAGCGGACACGCCTGGGAGGGGGGGGGGGGGGCAGAGAACCACCGTACTGAGCGGCGGGAGGACCCGTCCTTCCTGATGGAAATGGAGCCCGAGAACCCTCGGCGGGGTGAAGGCGGGGTGAGTCACGCTCCAGCCGGCCCTCGGGGATCCCAGCCAGGAACCACGGCCGAGGGGGGCCAGGCCCCAGGGCTGCGCCGGCCTGACGGCTCATCCCCTCAGAAACGCCAGTCCAGGGGTCTCTGTGACAAGGCTGGGGACCTACCCATCGGGCCAGTGCCCGGGACCAACCTGGAACCCCTGTGCGCCCGGCCTACACACCAAGCCGTCTCCCCGGCCTGCAAACACAGTTTTTTTTCTTAAAATGAAAGAGTAAGTTGAGAGCTCTGCTGCGGGGACCTGGGTGGGACCCGGGACCCAGCCGGCCCCGAGCACTGCCACAGATAAGGCCCAAGAAAGGGGAGGAAGGGGCCAGGGGAAGAAGCAGGAGCCCCACAAGGGCGGAAAACGCAAGCGAGACACCCCGAAGGGTGCAGGGACGCTGGAACTGCCCGCTCGGTCACTCTGCGCCTGGAACTGCTTTGAAACGTACGGGGGCGGAGTGATGGCGAGCGCTGGCCCGGCACGCAGCCGACCCAGGTTCGATCCCTGGCCCCCCCCCACGAGCACTGCCGGGAGCGACTCCTGAGCGCAGAGCCAGGTGTGGCCTAGAAACCACAAACAAATAAAAGAAAACGACCGTGAATCTAAGAGGAAGGACACGGGAGACAGGCTGGCTTCCTTCAAATCTATTTTCCGGATTGAATTGTCAGCTCCCACATTCAATCAACGCTTTGGAAACAAAAGCGAGGCCTCGCGGCCAACGCATCGGGGAGGCGGGCGCTGACCTTCAGCAGACAGCGCGGCTGCGGCGCTCGGGCGGTCACCCACGCCCCACGAGGAACTCTGCTGCCGAAAGCTCCGGAGGCCGCGGGCAAGAGACACCAGGCCCGCGGGAAGGGCCAGGTCAGGTGGGAGTCGGATGTCGCTCGGGACACGGAGGCCTCGGGCGGCCAGTGCTCGGGGCAAGGAGCTCTGGGAGGTAACTGACGCTCCCACGCTGCAGAGCCCGCCACGACGCGACCCGGGCTGCTGCCGCAGGAAACGGTCCTCGAGCCCAGGGGACACAGCCCGGCCCGGCCCCGCATCGGGGGCGCGCGGAGAGACGCACGGGGGCACATGCTGTCCCGGGTGCCCTCTGCGCTCCCCGCACTTTGCTAGGTTGAATTGTACTTTTACGGGGCTGGAGCGACAGCACAGCTGGAGGGCGTCTGCCTTGCACGCGGCCGACCCGGGTTCGATTCCCAGCATCCCACAGGGTCCCCTGAGCACCGCCAGGGGTGATTCCTGAGTGCAGAGCCAGGAGGAGCCCCTGAGCATCGCCGGGTGTGGTCCAAAAAAGCAAAAATAATAATAAATATATATGTATATATACACTTTTTACAAGCACAGCAGCTCAGGAACCATGCTGACAACTGGGAGATTTTCTTCATGTCCAGATGCCTGATATCGAGAAATCTCGCACCTGAACCATGGGGTCGCTGGACGCCGCATACTCAATGGGGAGCCAGGCCAGCGTGATTTTTAAGAATGAAGGCTTTGGGGGCGGGAGGCTGCTCTGCAGGGGGACCCCCGGGAAGCCCCGTGCAGTCAGCAGGGCCCCCAGCA